CGGACGCCGCACCACGGCATAAGCTCACTTGGCACTTCGTGCCAGGTGAGCTAATAACTGCATCAGAAAGAAAATACACATTTTAAGATTATCTAATTTAGTGAATACAATGTTTGTTGATCATAACAGGAGATAACTTGCAAATGTGTGTATTACAAGATTGTACAGCATATCATCCTTAATACTCCAGGGGTTTACGCTCACTTTCTCTCTAGATCTCTAGATCTGCACCCCTGGAATATATATGTCAAAGCAAAATTGATTGCTCATCAGTGTCTGACACCTTGTGGAAGAAACAGGATGACAAGTTTAATCTGATGATCAAAAGAAGTTCACTGTCACCAAATGGTAAAAAATTCTGACTTTGAAGTGGCTCCTTTGTAATTTTCAAAAGGACAATATCACATGTAAATAGCCTAGCGATTGGTAAGTGTTTTTTTTAATTGAGACCAATTAAATGGCTAGCCACAACATGCCTTCAATTTTGCTTTGACATATTCCAGGGGTGCATGCAGATCTAGAGAGCGAAGGTGAGTGAATTTGAACCTGTGGAGAGTTGAGGATGACAGCACATCTGTGCATGTCACCACCTACTCAAAATTACCGGTAAGTGGAATATTGTATAAATATATATGTGGATTCAGTGTAGTTCATGTGTCACATGTCTAATCGCTATTCAGTAGAGATGGAAAACAAGATATTTGCATTGTTCGGCGCCATTATGAGACGTAATGTAGGTGCATAATTTAGCTATCACAGTGCGGTTAGCTTTGCATCTAAAACCAAACTTTCATTTTGTAGAAACTGTATTGTTGACCAATCCTTCATGAGGCAAAAGACACAATGCAATGCAATAATCATATCTCGGAGTAGGAGATCATTGAGAGTGTCTTTTTTTACCGAAAGTCTTTCTAATCCCTTCAACATCTTATTACTCTAAACACCTTAGTTTAGGTCCAAATATAGCTGTAACAAATTCTCAGGTCCCTGTGGTTAAAACTCGGTGTACATCTGCGTGCTGTGGGATAATTATTGAGTGCACTAGTGCAAAATGTAAGGATGTTGAGCATGAACAGAGTATTCTGAATGACAACTCATAACATATACTTATAATTTAATAGATTCAAGTATGCATCAACACAAGTGCTCGGGTTCTGTGTGCATGATCCGTTCCTTTCATAAAAATGTTTCGTGTCCAGCAGCTTTGCTGCATTTTCTTGTTTTTTAAGTTAAGACTGTGTATTGCCAGTCGCAATTATAACAAAAGTAAACATTATTACGCATTAAACTGAAATGTGAAAGGAATATCAATGTATGTTACCAAATACTGATCGACAAGCTCTTTCTGCTGCAGTTAGCGGCGGATTGGGCATGAGTTGAGTCGCCATCTTGGTTCGTTTTTATATTCTTCAATCGGTGGTCATCACATTAGATAAAGCAAGTTTAATGTATCATACGGTAGTTTACTGTTTACATTACAATGTAAAAAATATATTTTGAAATAAACTTATTTATTTAAAGAAGAAGTATTTGTAAATAAACATTCTCTGGGATTAGAGACTATATAATCTGTATCTCGATTGCGCTTGCAGAGGTCATTCGGCTAAGTGATTCTAGCACCTGCAAGCATACCACGTTATCGGTAACAGTCCCAAGCTTGCGATCTCTCAACGACATCTATAAAACTGTCAAAATGGCTGGGATGACATGGGGTAAATATTTGGCAAGGTAAGTTTGATTTCCATTCTACAGTGTTTACGCTAATGTGGTGTCCTTTGTCATGTATAAGATCCATGTCACCGCTGTAAAACGAAAGTAGGTTACATGTACTGTAGTGCCTATAGTGTAAATGCCTTTTGCATATTTTTGAAAAATGTCTTATCCTTTTCAACTATATAATACAAATATTGTCATAACTTCCACTATTCATAGAAAGTGTTACAGTCCAGAGTCTTGACCGATACTCTACATCCCTGACAGTTTTGGCGAACTATTAGAAAACTTGACAACACATCAATAACCTTGACGATCCAAAGAGAATAAGTCACAACTTTCTCTTGTTCGCTTGCAACAATTTTTTGTGTGTTTGCTATTTATTTTAGAAGATATCTGTCAAGATGAATATTAGTTTGGAGGAAATTTTATTACCTTTCGTCCTTTTCATCTTTAAAATTAGGCCTATAAGATAAAACAAAAATGTGATCACAAAACTCACCAAAATTACAAAATTTGCACACATCAAACACACAACTTGGTGATTTACAAGTAATTATCAATTGATTGGCCCATTGTGCAATAAAATGCACACATATGAGCAATATAAGAAGAACGGATGATCGATGTTTGGGAATGAAAAAAATCTGGAAGGCTCGAGTCAAATATGGTACATTGTATACTATATATATACATGGTTAATATTTTGTCCAGTATATTTGTACTTTCTCTATTTCTTCAAATGTTGGTATGGTCCTACAACACATATTGTTATTGATGACAAACAAAATAAAGTCTGGAAGGAGCATAACAATATTTGCTAAAGTATTCATTATTTACATAAATTTACATTTTGACAGAGTATAGCAGGGACGTATATACTGTCCCTGAGTATAGTTATGCTTTATTTAGTTATTTCGAACAGTTCTTTGAACAGCAAATTAATTCTTGACAACAATGAAATTGATAAGGTCACAATAGATATTGACGAGGTTACAAAAGCAAATGTTGTTGTTATAGTCTCACAATAACATTTGCCTTCTCAATGCGTTGCAATGGAAGTAAAAGTAAAAGCAGAGCATACTGTTGTGTCTGATTCTGTCAGAATGTCTCGAGTCTGGTGTTGGAGCCAGGGGAAACTCTGATTAAATGTAATATTGACTGTTGGAATCACAGTTCACTGCAACCAAGGCTGATATCCAGAAAGGTCAGGGAATTAGGACATTGTATATTTGTGATTGATTGTATAGATAGCCTATACTAACTAATACATCATAACTTTAATCTTAAAATGGCAAAATAACCTTTTATGTCTCTTAATATTCCGCCACATACATTCTCATTCTGTATATAATTTTCGCTTTCATCTTATTCCAGAAAATAGAGAAATGTTCAGTTACTACTTCACATAAACTGTCAGAAAGCACAGACTACATTGCAGTTTAACAATATATTTTATTCATGACTCAATCATTTAATTGTATTTGATTTCATATCCTGTTTTGGTACCTGTCACGAACCAACAAACAGCACAGTAAGTATTGCTAGCTACTTAGGTTAAACTGCACAGTATATTCACAGGGCGTTTTTAGGGACATTTTGTTGATTTTCTTTTCACAATTTTCCCATATCAATAAGAAAATAAGCTTGTGTTTAGATGACACTAAAATGTTTAAAATGAAATGAAAATTCATTTATTAGAATGTATTAGTCTTTAAGACTTCACATGGTTTAAAGAAAATAATTGCACTGTTATATATATATACCATAAATGGTTTGTTAAATACTGTTTTGATTTAAATGAAGAAAAACGAAAAGTCATTGTATGCTAACGGTAACCAGATAATACAATTTATGCTTTCTCTTTCAACATTAATACAGTTAAAAAAAATGAGTTAATGCTTTCTCTATCAACATTTATACAGGTAATGCTTTCTCTATCAACATTAATACAATTAATGCTTTCTCTATCAACATTTATACAGTCAATGCTTTTTCTATCGGCAACATACAGTTAATGCTAAAATTGCTTCTTGTTGAATTATCTTTTTTTTGTTTGTTTTTTGTTTGTAGCATTTCTGGGGGCCTGGTAAGTATAGATCTGTGGATGTATTTCATTATTATAATTCAAGTTCTTTTTGTCAAACAGGGAAAAAATGATTTTCTGTAAACGTACAATTTAATTAAGTAAGGAAGGTGGATGGAAAACAAACAACGTTTATATATTTGATATTTAATGGAGAAGGGGAACATTATAATTTTGTTAGTGGCCAGTAGGTGAGAGAGACAGGAGACAAACAACATTTTTTGATAAATAAGGCAAAGGGAAACAGAAATATCAGAGTGCCCCAGTGAAAATGTGGTATTATTAAGTAAAGCTGTGGTGTTATTAAGTAAAGCTGTGGTGTTATTAAGGAAAGCTGTGGTGTTATTAAGGAAAGCTGTGGTATTATTAAGTAAAGCTGTGGTATTATTAAGTAAAGCTGTGGTATTAATAAGTAAAGCTGTGGTATTAATAAGTAAAGCTGTGGTGTTATTAAGGAAAGCTGTGGTGTTATTAAGTAAAGCTGTGGTGTTGTTTCTAGTTGCCAACTGGGGCCTGCCGATAGCTGCGATGATGGACCTGAAGAAAGACCCAACCATGATCAGTGGTAAAATGACCACAGGTAAGTTCTGTGATAAAAGGAACGTTATACTGATACCTATATAAATATATAGCTAGCAGATATTGTGTCTTGGTAGCTTCCACTGTCCACTAATCCATCACCATCCAACACTACTGGTACATGTTAGATACTTGACACTGACAGGAACATTTATATATTGACATACATGATAACTGCCTTGGTATTGGAAATTTCTTAATAATAATATACAACATTTGATATAGCGCCCTATCTAGTTAACATAAGCCACTCTAAAGCGCTTTAAAGTACATAAATATACAATTTTATACAGTCAATACAATTAGCATATATATTAATCAATACAATATTGAGGAATTCGCAGGAGCTGCCTTATCAGGTGCTAACTACTAGTCCTATGCCACCTGGCTAATATCTCCCTATGTGTGTGTGCTGGAGATGTATTGTGTTCCGTTTGTAGTGGGACCGTGCTTCCAACGGTATCATTTACTGTGTCACCTCACTTGAATACTACAGCACAGATACCGCAACACCCACCCCAGACCATTTTATACTCCACCTGGGTTGTTGGAGTTGTGTGGGCAGGAGTAAAACACTTTTTTCTAATATTCCATGCGTACGTCGACTTCGGGGATCGAACCCCGGCCGCCTGCTTTGAAGGCCGGAGTGTTAACCACTCGACCAATCTGCCAATATTCTTACCAGATTTTTCTTTCATTTTCAGCCCTTTGTATATATTCCATGTTGTTTATGCGATTTGCATGGAAAGTACAGCCGAGGAACATGCTCCTGTTTGCCTGCCATGCGACTAATGAAACAACACAGCTAGTACAGCTAATGAGATTTACACATCATTTGTAAGTGTTGCATGTAGAATCATAAGTTTTAGATCTATATCTGTTGTGTGAAAATCTCGATGGAGATGCTAATGAAATCACATGTGTTGATCATGCCCCCCTAATAGTGTTCTTTTTCATAGGGTTTTTCATAACATCCATGATTTTTATTCTCTGGCTGTGAATTTGAAGGACATCCATTCATGATAGGAAATTCATGGGATTGAAAACTCCTGAAATAAAACTGGTTTCATGGCCATGAATAATACCATGAATTGTTTTCATGGTGACAAATTCATTCGATTTGTACAAAATATATTACAATGCAAGGTTCTTAATAATATTCCTTTTCATGCGTTTTTCCATGACAGTTTCATATATAATTATCATAGGCTGTAGTTCATGGGCAGTTAATGGGTTGTCATACTGTAGTGGGATATATCAATCATCTGCTCCGGTGTGCGATATGTTCACACAAAAAATCTATTTGGTACAATACATATATGTAGGTTGCTTGATATTTCAGACTGAAAAAATATTGAAGTTTCGTATGAAGTAAGATACATTATAAATATTTCATTCCAGGTCTGTTTGTTTTGCATGATGATCAATTGTACAATGCGTTTTGCGATGGGCCTGACTTTCAGGTGACAGAACACAGAGTAACATTTTGTTGAGTGACGGGAAGTTTGTCTGGCTTGTGCCTGATGGTCATGCGATGTTCCCAATTGACTCCTGGGCACAGAGATTTGATCAGTTGTTATGAAAACACAACTGGATGTTAAATATTCGTTACCTTAAAGTCGATTATTTTACTTGCACAAGCTTGTACATTGTTAACACTGTGCACACATCCTGACGGTGTGTTCACCACACATTGCGTGACATTGTTTGATCCAACCACTGTATACTACAACAAATATTGAATATGACTTATAGCAACATGGCAACTTAATTGACTGATCAGTTACCCAAAAATGTAAAGGTCAGCTGAAGCAAGAGATTAGCTGCCATATGGCTCACTGCCATACACAACATTTTTAAGGAATTAAACATGTCACATGCCTTAAATAACCAGGCAAAGTATTGCAAGGCAATTCATAGTCTCCTGGTAAAGCTTTCTGTATTTAACGAATAATACATTAATGTCTGGATGTACATATCAAGATCCCAAGATGTCCTTGTACACCAAATCTTGTTACTCCAGGTGAAAAAGTAAAGAAGATATGCCCAGATAAACATTTTCAAAAGTAAAGGTCAAAGGTCAAGTCATATAGGTCACACTGACCTTCAGACAAACTTCCGGGGCAGAAAGAAGGACAGACAGCGTGCAAACCTATAGTCCCCTCTGGGAACCGATGGGGGACTAATGAAGCCGTTTCATTACATTGTGCTTTTATGCTTCTCTCCTTGCTATATTTACAGTTATCTAAAGTCTCCAGAGGCTCCAGAAGAGTACCAAACATCAGTACACAAGCCAACAGAATAGATGTGATATTGTCTTGCTGGCATGTTTGTATATTTATTACAACAGAATAGATGTGATATTGTCTTGGAATAAATGCTGAATTTGTCTGCCCAGCATGTTTGTGTAGATATTGATTAATTCTCACAGACATGTATGTGTAGGTGTCGATTAATTCTCACAGACATGTATGTGTAGTGTCGATTAATTCTCACAGACATATATGTGAAGGTATCGATTAATTCTCACAGACATGTATGTGTAGGTGTCGATTTATTCTCACAGACTTGTATGTGTAGGTGTCGAATTATTCTCACAGACATGTATGTGTAGGTGTCGATTAATTCTCAGACATATACATGTGTAGGTGTCAATTAATTCTCACAGACATGTATGTGTAGGTGTCGATTTATTCTCACAGACTTGTATGTGTAGGTGTCGAATTATTCTCACAGACATGTATGTGTAGGTGTCGATTTATTCTCACAGACATGTTTGTGTAGGTGTCGATTAATTCTCACTGACATGTATGTGTAGATGTCAATTTATTCTCACAGACATGTATGTGTAGGTGTCGATTTATTCTCACAGACTTGTATGTGTAGGTGTCGAATTATTCTCACAGACATGTATGTGTAGGTGTCGATTAATTCTCACAGACATGTATGTGTAGTGTCGATTAATTCTCACAGACATATATGTGAAGGTGTCGATTAATTCTCACAGACATGTATGTGTAGGTGTCGATTAATTCTCAGACATATACATGTGTAGGTGTCAATTAATTCTCACAGACATGTATGTGTAGGTGTCGATTAATTCTCACAGACTTGTATGTGTAGGTTTCTTTATATTCTCACCAACATGTTTGTGTAGGTATTGATTAATTCTCACCAACATGTATGTGTAGGTGCCGATATATATTCTCACAAATTCTCACAGACGTATATGTGTAGGTGTCGATTAATTCTCACAGACATGTATGTGTAGGTGTCGATTAATTCTCAGACATATACATGTGTAGGTGTCAATTAATTCTCACAGACATGTATGTGTAGGTGTCGATTAATTCTCACAGACATATATGTGTAGGTGTCGATTATTTATCACAGACATATATGTGTAGCTGTCGATTTATTGTCACAGACATGTATGTGTAAGTGTCTTTATATTCTCAACAACATGTTTGAGTAGGTGTCGATTAATTCTCACTAACATTTATGTGTAGGTGTCGATTTATTCTCACAGACATGTATGTGTAGGTGTCGATTTATTCTCACAGACATGTTTGTGTAGGTGTCGATTAATTCTCACTGACATGTTTGTGTAGGTGTCGATTTATTCTCACAGACATGTATGTGTAGGTGTCTTTATATTCTCACAGACATGTATGTGTAGGTGTCGATTAATTATCACCGACATGTATGTGTAGGTGTCTTTATATTATCACCAACATGTATGTGTAGGTGTCGATTTATTCTCACAGACATGTATGTGTAGGTGTCGATTTATTCTCACAAACTTGTATGTAAATAGGTGTCAATTTATTCTCACGGACATGTATGTCTAGCTAGGTGTCAATTTATTCTCACTGAATATGTTTCTCTAGCTAGGTGTCAATTTATTTTCACGGAATATGTTTGTGTAGGTGCTGATTTTGTGTACCAACATGTTTGTTTAACTGTTGAAATAGAAGAAGTGCTTGCATCGTCTCAACAACACATTTGTTTTATCACGTTTGAATTAAGTGCTCCTGAAAAGTGGTTTTAGGCAGCAATGGTTGATGCAAGTATACATACATGTACAGTGAATACTAGCTAGTAAGAATTTGAAGATCAATTCATTATCTCTATGTGGCATGTGACATATTTCTTAAAATAACGGGCCTATAGCAATTACTTAATCAAAGCAACACATTTTAAAATGAGTTCTGAATGTAAAACCCAATGTTAGTTTATGCCACTGTGATGCCTTATATTGTACATTATCCTAGTTACAGTGACTGTGTTCTTTACATAATGATGTTCTCTATGAAAACATGTCTCAAATTGCATTTAAAAGATTTTAATAATCAGGAAAAAAACTTCCAATAGGGCATATATATGTGCATTTTAAACTAATTTTACTGCCATTTCTTTAATTAACGGTCAGATTTTAATAGTAACATGCCTTTTTCATATGATCTTTCGAAAGGGCATCAAGTGATCTTTGAATGTGTTGCAACCTTGACCCAAGGTCATATCTCTGTGGTCAATGTCACAGAGTTTGGACATCTTTAACTGGCTTCAAAGCTATAATTCTGTACTTGTACTCTTTTGTACAGATGAAGAGTTGGTGAGGCATATGCATTGTGCCTATCTGTGGGATTGAGATACCCGACATGTTTGACAGCTCACATTTCTCTATCTTACACATAGGTAGTGGCAAAACAATACTGTTACTTATTTATATTGTAAGTTCTCTACTCAGTTTATGTATTTAAAATGGGTATGATGAGATTACTGATGTTTTATGCATTTTAGAATGTTAAGTACTTTTACATAATGAACACATTGCTGATGAATGAGAGTTTATGTGAATGTAGGTAAGAGGGTGAGAGGCATTTTATATTTAGTATTGTTTTGGTACAGGACAGGGCATTTAATCGCCATTTATAATATCTATTGGAAAGATATAATACAACATAATCATCCATTGAAATATTGTATTAGTGAACGTTAATAAAGTCTTAATTAAGTCTGAAATTTTGTTCAGCTATCTTCTGCTTATATGTATGCAAACATTGATTAAAGGTTCTATGTAATTATGAAGGGAGGCACTATTAGTTTTCAGATGTAAAATACATTTTGCTATAAATTAGAATAATGCACTGTTTATTCATAACAAAATTGATGTGTGAAAGATGAGAGAGTCGGGACATTTAGATCAGGTGTGTTTGCCGTCATACATGTACATACAAGTGTAATTTGTTTTGTGATGGTGCACTGAGTAGTACCGAGTATCATTAGAATTTTGATCCGAGTGTAATTTTCACAAACATGGAACTGAGTTTTATATGAAATCAATTGTTAGCTGTAATATGTGAGCAATCAATGTCATATACTGCTGTAAAAATGAAGTCTGTTCAGTAGAACTTACTGTCTATAGCTAGTTATAAAAATACCCAAGGATGTTCATGTAGACTTACTGTCTAGTTATAAAAATATCCAAGGATGTAGCATAAACCCCGTAAAAAGATTTGACTCAGTGTAATAGATCCCATTACCCATTTCACTTGGATGAGTCCATTGATTATTTAGAGAACATTCCACTTACCCACCTGCTGTGTTAGCTATGGTAATACATCCCTCACATGTGTGTACTAGATGTAGAGTTGGTACATGTAGTCTGGAAAAACTACCTTGAACTCCTTCCTGTGTGATGATGAATTATATCATTGGATGAGGACATTGTTTATAGTGCTACTGTATATATACACTGTAAATCACCTTAAATGAAGAAAACTAGGCTGTGTTGGGGGTGGTTGGGGGTGTGGCCCATGTTGGAGGTTCTTTAAGTGTTTGAGGTTGATTGAGGGTGTCACAGAGAACAGTTATATTGTTGTAGTTGTTGATACATTAGGTTCAGTAAATGTTAACATGCTCCATTAAGTTAGCTTCTCCCCATCAGCTTCACTTTGGTTGTGCCCTATGAGTTACTTACCGGTAGGTCTAGCATGCTGTGTGGTAGCTTATAGGATTTTAAATGATAATTTCGTAAAATTTAAGCAATATGGTGTAAATTATTTGTAACACATTGTCAAATATTGGAGAAAAAGGGAGAATGGTTATGCAATGAATGTCTACTTAAAACCATCTAAAAAAAGTGAAAAAAATCTGATCCTTACTTAATGTTAGCCTGCAAGGCATGTTAAACAACCTGAAAGTAAATCTTTTGGTGTTTAAAAATCATATTGTCAATACCAAAGCTGCTTGAGGCAATCTACATTTGTATATTGGTTTTGTTAATCGGCAGAGGTATGGATAATCATAACATGGTAATTTGGATAGACGATTTTTGGAAACAAGGATATAAACATTTTCCGATGGGCATGGGCGATAATTACACGTACAGCAGTTTGACGAGGACGATTGTTTACATGTATAATTATTGCTGAACATTGATTGTTCTCAGGTGAAGGTTAAATACTTGGGTAGCCTAAACTAAGTTATACACTAGTGAAGGGAGAGGAGGGCGATTGTTATAGGGACTCTTCACAAATACAATTACATGTAAAACTTGGTGATAAACTAAACAATTTTGGCCTCTGAAGTAGATAGTCTAAGCAATTTTTGTAATTTGTATTCAATAGATCCGACACAGTATCATACCTGTTAAGTAATAGCAAAAAGGTAGTGTATGCTTTGCAAATGTTTTATTTATCATATATTAACATTTTTACGAAATTGTTATTTTTCTATTTAAACTTTGATTTCAAGTTTGATGAAGATTGTTGACATGCAAATGTAAATGTTGCATAGAAATAAAGATAAACTGAAACTTGAACATTGACATAAATTAGTTGTACACAAGGTGGCAACTGAAACGAGCGATGTATTTTTTTTCTCCTTTACACTTACAAAAGAAAAATTCAGATGAGTATCTTAATAGCTCATCTATATCCTTAATTATTATGTACTGTATAATCTGAGAGGGAAGTATCTCTTTTTGAATAAAAAGTGTCAACTTGTTTTTCTCGTGTTTATCTTTTTGTTTGAATATTAGAATTTGTCAAGCCTTGTTGATCCACTATTCAGCCTTGTTGATCCACTATTCAGCCTTGTTAATCCATCCATTACTTATCCCGCTGATCCACTATTCAGCCTTGTTAATCCATCCATTACTTATCTCGCTGATCCACTTTTCAGCCTTGTTAATCCATCCATTACTTATCTCGCTGATCCACTTTTCAGCCTTGTTAATCCATCCATTACTAATCCTGCTGATCCGCTATTCAGCCTTGTTAATCCATCCATTACTTATCTCGCTGATCCACTTTTCAGCCTTGTTAATCCATCCATTACTAATCCTGCTGATCCGCTATTCAGCCTTTATAATCCATCCATTACTTATCCCGCTGATCCACTATTCAGCCTTGTTAATCCATCCATTACTAATCCTGCTGATCCGCTATTCAGCCTTGTTAATCCATCCATTACTTATCCCGCTGATCCACTATTCAGTCTTGTTAATCCATCCATTACTAATCCCGCTGATCCGCTATTCAGCCTTGTTAATCCATCCATTACTTATCCCGCTGATCCGCTATTCAGCCTTATTAATCCATTCATTACTTATCCTGCTGATCCACTATTCAGCCTTGTTAATCCATCCATTACTTATCCCGCTGATCCGCTATTCAGCCTTGTTAATCCAGTCATTATTAAGTTTGTTCAAATGAATGACCTTCACTCATATTCAAGGTCACAGGGGTCAAATATGTTAAAAACTTCTTCTAAATAACTGAAATTCCCAGGGAGATAACATTTGGCCAGTAGCATGCTGGGGTAAAGGGCTACCAAGTTTGTTCAAATGAATGACCTTGCCTCATATTCAAGGTCACAGGGGTCAAATATGTTAAAAACTTCTTCTAAATAACTGAAATTCCCAGGGAGATAACATTTGGCCAGTATCATGCTGGGGTACAGGGCTACCAAGTTTGTTCAAATGAATGATCTTGCCTCATATTCAAGGTCACAGGGGTTAATTGTTAAAAAAGACCTTTAAACAACTTCCTCTGAATAACCAAAAGGCCCAGGAGTTTGATATTTAGTCAGTAGCATACTAGGATGAAGGGCTACCAATTTTGTTTAAATGTTTGACCTTGAATCATATTCAAGGTCACAAGGAGCATATATGTTCAAAATCTTTAAACAACTTAGTCTGAATAACCAAAAGGCCCAGGATGATGATATTTGGCCTGTAACATGATAGGATGTAGGGCTACCAACTTTGTTCAAATGAATGACCTTGACATTTATTCAAGGTCACATGGATCAAATATGTTCAAAATCTTTAAACGATTTCTTAATAACCAAAAGGCCCAGAATATTGATATCTAGTCAGTAGCATGCTGGGATCAAGGGCTACAATGTTTGTTCAAATGAATGACTGACTTATAAACAAGATCACATGGTCAAATTTGTTTAAAATCGTTAAACGACCTCTTCTGAATAACAATTGGTCCCAGAATGTTGATAGTTCTCAAGTTGCATCCCGAGGTGAAAGGCTATAAAATGTATTCAACATCATGATCTTGTTCGACTTTCAAGGTTACAAGGGTGAAATGTTTTAAAAACTTTTAATAGGTTCTTTTGAATGAATTTTAATCATAAATACTGATTTTTTGCCTGTAGCTTTATTTTTGATCACTACAAGTGTGAGATTTGTGCCAGGTGAGCGATGCAGGCCCATTGGGCCTCTTGTTTTGTATCAGCATATAAAAGAAGGTTTCATGATGGGAAAGGTACCCTTACCATGGAACTTATATGAAAAGGTGATCAGTTGGAATTCACATTACTTACTTGAATTATCAAACTGATTAATGTTAAAGGCAATAAACTAACAAGAGGCCCAAGAGGGCCTGTATCGCTCACCTGAATATTTAAGCAGTCATAGCAAAATATTCTCATTAAATATTATATTGCACTAAAAATATTTCCCTCGCAAACTTTGTTGGCTCCATCTGTTGAAACTACCAGCAAAATATTATTATAAGATTCTATGCTTTTTGATTCTTCTTCAGAAGTTGCTTGACATATTTTTCCCTGTGATCTTGTAAGTAGGTCAATGTCATTTTCCTTCTCAAATTGGTTAGCTCTATTCCAAAAAGCTACCAGCCAAATCTTATGAATCCATTCCTTTTAGTTCTCAAGAACAAATCCATTAAAATGTTGTTGACCTCTGTGACCTCTAAAGTAGGTTGAGGTCATTTTCATTTGCAAACTTTGGTGAGCTCTATCCCGGGAAGTCACCAGCCAAATATTATAATTTTATGCCTTTTAATTCTTCAGAAGAAGCTGTTTGAACTGTTTGACATATTTGAACGCTGTGACCTTGAAAGTAGGTCAAGGTCATTTTCATTCGCAAACTTTGTTTGGCTCTTTCCCAGGAAGCCACCTGCCAAATATTAAGATTTTATAACTACCAGTTCTTCAGAAGAAGTCGTTTAAAGTGTTTGACATATCTGCCTCATGTGACCTTAAAAGAAGGTCAAGGTCATTTTCATTCTCAAACTTTGTTCGGCTCTTTCCTAGGAAGCTACAAGCCAAATATAGAGATTATATACCTTTCAGTTCTTCAGAAGAAGTCGTTTGAAGTGTCTGACACATTTGACTCCTGTGACCTTGAAAGAAGGTCAAGGTCATTTTCATTCTCAAACTTTGTCGGGCTCTATCCAAGGAAGCCATCAATCAAAAATAAAGATTCTATACCTTTCAGTTCTTCAGAAGAAGTCATTTGAAGCTTTTGACATATATGACCCCTGTGACCTTGAAAGTAGGTCAAACTAGTTTTCATTCTCAAACTTTGTTGGGCTCTATCCCAGGAAGCCACCAGCCAAATATAAAGATTATATACCTTTCAGTTCTTCAGAAGAAGTCGTTTGAAGTGTTTGACACATTTGACCCCTGTGACCTTGAAAGAAGGTCAAGGTAATTTTCATTCTCAAACTTTGTTGGGCTCCATCCAAGGAAGCCATCAGCCAAATATGAAGATTCTATACCTTTTAATTCTTCAGAAGAAGTCGTTTGAAGTTTTTGACATATTTGACCCCTGTGACCTTGAAAGTAGGTCAAACTAATTTTCATTCTCAAACTTTGTTGGTCTCTATCCCAGGAAGCCACCAGCCAAATATAAAGATTCTATACCTTTCAGTTCTTCAGAAGAAGTCGTTTGAAGTGTTTTACACATTTGACCCCTGTGACCTTGAAAGTAGGTTAAGGTCATTTTCATTTTCAAACTTTTTTGGGCTCTATCCCAGGAAGCCATCAGCCAAATATGTAGATTCTATACCTTTTTGTTCTTTAGAAAAAGTCGTTTGAAGTTTTTGATATATTTGACCCCTGTGACCTTGAAAACAGGTCAAGGTCATCTTCGTTCTCAAACTTTGTAGGGCTCCTACCAACGAAGCTTTCAGCCAAATATCATGACTCTAGGCCTGTCCATTCTTCAGAAGAAGTTGTTTAAAGGAAAAGATGAAGGACGAGGATGGACGGACGGACAGACGACGGACGCCGCACCACGGCATAAGCTCACTTGGCACTTTGTGCCAGGTGAGCTAATAAACAAGAGGTCCACAGGCCTAATTAACCAATGGTCAGGTGAGTTGTTCTACATAGCATTTTGTTGTTGCCAATATGTGAACGGAAAATAATAATTCTTTAAGTCAGCAGCTAAAACACCTTAGAGGCCATTAAATGATTTGTATAAAAATTGAGAAATAATAGTTTTTGTCATTTTCTCTATATCATAAAGTAGGCTACAACACAAGAGCCAGAAGGTAACACCAAGTCCACCAAAGTCGCAATGTTTATGTTTGTTACCTGTTGGTCTCATAACCACGCTTACAATTTGTTGACAAGTTCTTCCCACCATAAAGATACCCCAAAACATCGAAGGGTTCCGCTCCGAAATGTACAATCTCTGCATCCTTGGACTATGCCACAACCAAATTGAACACTCGTAAGTTATTTGATTGGTTTCAGGTATAAATACCTGACAATCTGCTCTGCTGATACATATACCTTTTGAAGATTATAGAAGAGCTACCCCAAACTTTAAAGGCAATTAATTTTACCATCATGCTGCGGCTCGATTCCTTTGGTGTTCAACAACGATACCCCCTTGAATTTTGAGGATGCACATCCCTGAATTAAGGAGAGCTATTGCATAACACATACACTGATGAACAATTTAAGTGGTCAAGAGACGTAAACATCTCAAAACAATCTGACTACTCCTTAGATAAAGCTTACCAGAGTTTAACAGATACAAAGAGATATTTATTAGAAGAGTAAATTGTCAATTTCAATAAGTTGTTGAGGGTCCAACTCCCTATGTCATAATGTGGATACATATTCAGGAGTTCTCCAGTAATATATCAAATGTTGGTCGCTGTCTTTTCACTGTCTTTGGTTCGAGTTGTATTTAGCTCCATCACTCTGATACGTCGTGACGTCATCAAACGTCATAAGTGGGTACACCCTGATTGGTACTACTTCTGTACCGCGATATCTCAAGTGTAGTAGACGTAGGTCATTGTGATATACTTCTGCTTCACTGACTTTTCTTGAATTTTTCATTTTGCTACTAAAATCAAACTTCCTGTGTGGATACATCCTGTGAAGTAATTCCTGAAGTAATTTTGATGAATTTTGCTTCACTGACTTTAGTTCCAGTTCTTTGACATTTTATATAAAAAGCAGGAACAGGGACCTAGCTGGGTTAATTTCATGAAAACCACAACAGCATTCAGCTACATTGTAACGTAAAAATACCACTAAAATACAAAGTAAAGAAACATCCATTTTAAAATGGAGTTAGTGGATGTAAAGAGCGTGAAATATGTTTACATGTACCACACCATACTGGCCATTGTGTCCGCAGTTCTCATCCTTTTAGCATTAATCAGTAGTATTTCAGGTGAAAAGGAAGAAAACACATGTTCAAGCAGAGACATAAAGCCAGAGATTTGTAGTATATATGCGTCTCTGGTTCAAGTGACCCAAAACATGTTTCTTGTTTTATAATTTAAGTCTGACTTGGCATGACCCTATATGTAGCTAGTCGAGATCACAGACTTCATAATTAGGTAGTAAAGACTAAAACCTTATGATGAAATTTAACAATCAGTTTAATCTGCCATGAAAGTACATGTAAAATGTAAAAATAATGAGGACTAAAAATATCGACACGACTCAGTAACAACACCATTCTGTAAAGCATAACATCATGATTTACACATTGTTTTTAAAAGTATACTATTTTGTGCATATTTTGACGTCTTTGAAATCTCCGAGATGGAACAAAGGTTAAAAACCTTACTGACCCAAGGCTTGAAATCAAATGAGACTTTATCATTTAAAGTAATAAATCTGATCTTATTCTAAGTGAAACCTATGAAAAAAAATAATAAATTGTGTTCCTACTTGAAAACAATCTGCATAGATTTGGTATATTGTCCACCCTTCTCACGAAGCATTCAAATTGTATTACAATGAAAGAATTAAAGAGAGAGATTAAAATAAGACACTGGAAGTGTCAAAATTATCATCAGTATGACAATCGAAGCTAAACCATATAATTTGTGAATGATGTAAAAATACTTTGTCAGAAACAGCCTAAAATGTAAGAGCTTAACGCAAAACATTAACGTTGAGTTTTTTTCTTAAGTGCAGAAGTTTGAGGTTTTTACCCAAAAAATGCAGAAATCAATGAAACGTTTTTAGTGCAGTAGGCTCCACTACCCATGCTACATCTATGATCGAGGTTTTGTTGGTGTAACTTTGTCAGGAACAGAGCTAAACGCAAAACCTTAACATTGTTGACGCCGCCGCCGCCACTGTCGCCATCGGAAAAGCGACGCCTATGTGTCTTTCCGACATCCATCGTAGGCGACACAAAAACAATGTAAATATCATTGATAATCAGACGTGTCCCAACATTTCTAGACCGACTGACAATTAAGACACCAGTCGGTCCTGAAATATAATGACATGTTTGATATGTACATTGTTTATAAAGTGTAAATTGTAAAGTAAAACTTTGATACATTCACAATTGTAGGTGTTACATGTGCTAAAGAGACTACGGATCCATAAACTACCATTAATGTGTATATAGAGGAATTTTTCACACACGTACATTAATATTGTTATGTCAAAAAGAACATCATAACAGCACCACTGCAAAGATATTTGTTTGCAAATTGTAAAATAAAAACAGTATAAATATGTACTTATATATACAACGAGTTATCTCCTGACCTGACTACATTAGAACCAGGACGATAATAAACAATTGTGGTGTGTCCTAGTGATACCATCTGACTAAACCACTGACATTACTGTTCTCTGATATATGTTTTTATATTTGAAAGACATCAGGAACCCTCACAGGAAACTGACAAATCAAGTTCAAAGAGAATAAGCGTGTCTCTACAAATTAAATCAGATCTGCAGCAGCTGGTAGATGATGTGATACAGGCCTAGGTGTGGAAGATTTTTTTTTCATGTTTGTTTTACTTTCTAGTTTTATTTTTGAATAGTCCAAACGTAAATCAATACAACTGTCTGGAAAAAACACTAATTGATTTTCCTAATCTTTTAAAACCTGGAAAACATGGCTGAGTGATTTCTCTCTACAACAAAAGTTAAAAAAAAGATCACCATTGCATCGGTACATATCTGTTTTAAAATTATTTCACTATAAATAAATGATGAACATTAAACTGATACAGTTGACTATAGATTCAGCCGGTGTCATACATGTTTAACAGGATCTTTCTGTGATTTACTAGGATGATAGGATCGGGTCGGTTTTCGTTCATTCCAATATTCTAAAGTTTGCATTTCCGTCAAACGTGACACAGTTCTATCAAATGCGAAAAGTTCTTCCTCTCCAGTAAATATACTGGCCTTGGCATCACCCATTCCTGATCTCTACAACAGAAATACAAATCATTGATAAAGACAAGGCCACAGTGTATACTTAAAGTTCAAATACACAAAACTATAATAGTCTAATTATACACAGAAGGCTTCACTGTATACCAAAGTAATGCTACCCAACAACAGACTACGGCCCACTAATGTAGATGGCCCACACCTTATATCTATGACAACACCTCTAATCAACAGACTAAACCTATAAATCTACAATAGAGACTGACCTGTAGTATGACCAAACCTACAAATCTACAATAGAGATTGACCTGTACGTAGTATGACCAAACCTACAAATCTACAACAGAGATTGACCTGTACGTAGGAACAAACCTATAAATCTACAATAGAAACTGACCTGTAGTATGACCAAACCTACAAATCTACAATAGAGATTGACCTGTAGTATGACCAAACCTATAAATCTACAATAGAGATTAACCTGTAGTATGACCAAACCTATAAAGCTACAATAGAGACTGACCTGTAGTATGACCAAACCTATAAAGCTACAATAGAGACTGACCTGTAGTATGACCAAACCTACAAATTTACAATAGAGATTGACCTTCACGTAGTATGACCAAACCTACAAATCTACAATAGATACTGACCTGTAGTATTACCAAACCTATAAATCTGCAATAAATACTGACCTGTAGTATGACCAAACCTGTAAATCTACAATAGAGACTGACCTGTAGTATGACCAAAGCTATGAATCTACAATAGAGACTGACCTGTAGTAGGACCAAACCTACAAATCTACAATAGAGATTGATCTGTAAGTATGACCAAACCTACAAATCTACAATAGAGATTGATCTGTAAGTATGACCAAACCTACAAATCTACAATAGAGACTGACCTGTAGTATGACCGAACCTACAAATCTACAATAGAGACTGACCTGTAGTATGACCGAACCTACAAATCTACAATAGAGATTGACCTGTACGTATGACCAAACCTACAAATCTACAATAGAGACTGACCTGTAGTATGACCAACCCTATAAATCTACAATAGAGACTGACCTGTAGTATGGCCAAACCTACAAATCTACAATAGAGATTGACCTGTAGTATGACCAAACCTACAAATCTATAATAGAGACTGACCTGTAGTATGACCAAACCTATAAAGCTACAATAGAGACTGACCTGTAGTATGACCAAAGCTATGAATCTACAATAGAGACTGACCTGTAGTAGGACCAAACCTATAAATCTATAATAGAGATTGACCTGTAGTATGACCAATCCTATAAATCTACAATAGAGACTGACCTGTAGTATGACCAACCCTACAAATCTACAATAGAGATTGACCTGTACGTATGACCAAACCTACAAATCTACAATAGAGACTGACCTGTAGTATGACCGAACCTACAAATCTACAATAGAGACTGACCTGTAGTATGACCAACCCTATAAATCTACAATAGAGACTGACCTGTAGTATGGCCAAACCTACAAATCTACAATAGAGATTGACCTGTACGTAGTATGACCAAACCTATAAATCTGCAATAGAGACTGACCTGTAGTATGACCAAACCTTTAAATCTACAATAGAGACTGACCTGTAGTATGACCAACCCTATAAATCTACAATAGAGACTGACCTGTAGTATGACCAAAGCTATGAATCTACAATAGAGACTGACCTGTAGTAGGACCAAACCTACAAATCTACAATAGAGATTGACCTGGACGTAGGAACAAACCTATAAATCTACAATAGAGACTGACCTGTAGTATGCCGAGATCATCCATTAACATACTGTTAGTCTCCTCATCACGTTTACTGATACTCCCACTTGTAAACAGTCCAATGGGTTCTACTTCAGCAGAGCACAACACACGCACCTATATACACAATCATCAGAGAAAATTAAAAGGCAGATATTATATATTTATAAAAAATATTTTTCCATACTGTTATTTTCGGATTGAAGCCTATATTACATTGTAAAGCAAAATTGATATTCTGATTGAAAACTTTTCTAAAAAACTTTTATAGAAGTCCATATATAGAGGATTTCCCAGGAATGGAATATCTATAAAAATAAGTAAGCATTAGACAATTGGTCTTTTGGACTCCCCAGAGACATTAATTCAGTCTGTGTTAGTTGATAGGTAGAGGATTTCCCAAGAAGATATTAATTCAGTCAGTGTTAGTTGATAGTTAGAGGATTTTCCAGGAAGATATTAATACAGTCAGTGTTAGTTGATAGTTAGAGGATTTCCAAGGAAGATTTTAATTCAGTCAGTGTTAGTTGATAGGTGTAGAGGATTTCCCAGGAAGATATTAATTCAGCCAGTGTTAGTTGATAGTTAGAGGATTTTCCAGGAAGATATTAATACAGTCAGAGTTAGTTGATAGTTAGAGGATTTCCCAGGAAGATATTAATTCAGCCAGTGTTAGTTGATAGTTAGAGGATTTTCCAGGAAGATATTAATACAGTCAGTGTTAGTTGATGGTTAGAGGATTTCCCAGGAAGATTTTAATTCAGCCAGTGTTAGTTGATAGTTAGAGGATTTTCCAGGAAGATATTAATACAGTCAGTGTTAGTTGATAGTTAGAGGATTTTCCAGGAAGATATTAATACAGTCAGAGTTAGTTGATAGTTAGAGGATTTCCAAGGAAGATTTTAATTCAGTCAGTGTTAGTTGATAGGTAGAGGATTTCCCAGTAAGATATTAATTCAGCCAGTGTTATAGTTGATAGGTAGAGGATTTCCCAAGAAGATATTAATTCAGTCAGTGTTAGTTGATAGTTAGAGGATTTTCCAGGAAGATATTAATACAGTCAGTGTTAGTTGATGGTTAGAGGATTTCCCAGGAAGATTTTAATTCAGCCAGTGTTAGTTGATAGTTAGAGGATTTTCCAGGAAGATATTAATACAGTCAGTGTTAGTTGATAGTTAGAGGATTTCCCAGGAAGATTTTAATTCAGTCAGTGTTAGTTGATAGTTAGAGGATTTCCCAGGAAGATTTTAATTCAGTCAGTGTTTGTTGATAGGTAGAGGATTTCCCAGAAAGATATTAATTCAGTCAGTGTTAGTTGATAGGTAGAGGATTTCCCAGGAAGATTTTAATTCAGTCAGTGTAAATTGATAGGTAGAGGATTTTCCAGGAAGATTTTAATTCAGTCAGTGTAAATTGATAGGTAGAGGATTTTCCAGGAAGATTTTAATTCAGTCAGTGTTTGTTGATAGGTAGAGTATTTCCCAGAAAGATATTAATTCAGTCAGTGTTAGTTGATAGGGGTAGAGGATTTCCCAGGAAGCTTTAATTCAGTCAGTGTTAGTTGATAGGTAATATACCTTTTTATCATATAGGGTGTCAATGAGTGTGATGAATCTTCGAGCTTCTGACTTGCGACTAAGTGACATTCGTGGTATATTCCTTACAATTACAGTGTCAAAATTTTGGCTTATTTCCAGGTAATCTATTGCACCAAGAGGCTGAAACACAGTTGTCAGGTACATATTCAGTGACTATTTGATCACACAATCTATGGCTAGTCTAGATTTTGAATTTCATTTTACATTCTGTGATAAGAGATATCATGATGTCAAAAGTATTGACCAACAGTTTAAAAGAAAACACTCTTAAACTTAAATCTATTTATTTTTTCATTTTTATTTGTTTAAATATTTTGTTTGTTTTCATATATACAATTCAAACCTGGAAATGAAATACTTTAATCAACCTCTTGTTAGATAGCTGAATACAAATGTACTGTAAGGTACAGTATGTAAAGATGAGAATCCAGGTAAAATTGAAATGACAGTCCTATCAAGTTCTTACCTGTGCACACATACTGTTAAAGTCTGTGTCCAGCACACCGCCACATGTCTTGGGCAACAGAAGTTTCCGTTTCAGGACGATTATCTCCCTTGGACCAGGATCTAGAATGGATGGTATTACCATATAGTGCATTTTCTATCTTTTATACACATTTTTTTTAGAACATTTTAGACATGGCTTTCCATTCTCTTGACCTTTAGTACAAATGATAATTCCTAAACGGCCATATGGCCAAGTAAACATTTACTGTGTCTTTCTACGTTGACTTATTAGTTACTTTAATTTGTTGGTACATATATCAATATGGGATATAGCAAAAAAAATATAATGAAATAAGAAAACCATAGTTTCTAATTCTAATTACATTGTAATGATATTCTATCTTCTTATAACAACTTATTTCACTTTTTTTACTAATTACCAGGTAGTGAATTAAGAGAGTACATTTGTTTAATGAAAATAGAAGGTTTTAATATTCAATTACACATGTACTAAGCCTGAGTCTGTCTAATACATAGAAAACCAAATTCTGATGAATAATATTAATCTGCATAGAAAACTGAAATCAAAAAATAATTTTAACACCTGATTTATATAATCTGTACTCATACAGCCTTACCTTGGTCTTCCTCAGCACTTAGGTGATCAAATATGTGGTCTAGGTGTGTGTCAGCCTCACTGTTAGAGGTCCTACAACAATGGTCAGATCTATAGACAAAACATCTCTTCTTACATGGGGATGTTATACTTTAAAACATGAGATGGGAAGATATTTAAAATACTGCTTGCAATAATTTTTCTCCAAAAAATATACTTCTACTGAAAGTTTTAGCTGGAATAAATCTGATCAAAGTTATTTGAGCTGCAAATCAGTTCATTCAAAACAAAAACCACACCCACACACAGTGGCAACTTTTCCAACAATATAAAGTTTCAGGGCCTAACACACGCAACCATGTAATTTTGTAAGTGCCTTCCCCAGAAACTTTAATTAAATAAACATTCAAGATCCATTGATGATGTTATTGTTGCATTTACACTAACTTTTTTTTATTTATTTTTTATTTTTTTGCAAACTGTTATTTATAGTTCCTTGAATAAACAAATCAAGCATATTTTCAACTTTATTTGAAATGTATGCTGAACTCAATATTTAAGTTTTTGATGAAAAAAATAACCAGTGACAATGTGGTACCAATACATCTATTTACTTTCTGATTAAAATGAACAAAATGATACTTACAAAAAGTAAATCTTGCCTTCTGCTGGACCAACTGTCATTCTGTAGTCTATTCCAGAGTCCAGGTTAAGTGTTTTACAGTGACTCTGCGAAAATACAAACAAACATTCATTGTACATAAGTGTTTTACAGTGACTCTGCGAAAATACAAACATTCATTGTACATAAGTGTTTTACAGGATCAAATTGTACTTGTCAATCAAAACATATTTTTGTCTCTAATTAGAAAATGTTTCAGGTTTTGTTGGCACTGAAATGAAATTTAATGGTGAAGTTATCACAGACCCTGCTTGCCTAGCCCTCCTCTGGGGAATGTTTTTTGCAGAGATACATTCAGAATCATCCAGTGAAGAATTAATTCATGAATATGTATGCTTGTGACAATAAAAGTAAATTGTTTGCTTGCTTCCTAGATGCTGCCAAAGCATTTCACTTTGAATAGCATAATGACCTATTCTTTAAACCCACTAGCACTGGCTTTAAGTTAAAGAGTATTTATATAATTACTTCTTTATAATTACATGTATATGAAAGTATATTTAGTGCTGTTCTGCACAAGGGTTCCTTCTGGTTCAAAGTCAACCAAGGTACACATCAAGGAAGCATTATCTCCCCTTGGTTGTTTACAGTTTTTATCAGTGACTTGTTGAAGGATCTGTGTGTTTCAAAGTTTTCTTAGTTATTCAAAATGTCAATGTACATATAACCTGTTCAACTCAAGCTGACGATTTTAAGATGCTGTCTCTAAGTTAACATGGTCTGATCTCATGGACATGTGTTCCACTTACAGCTGTAAATGGAGATTCAAATAAAATATGTCTTAGTCTGTTGTGAATGTTGTGAATTGCAAAAATGCTTTCCCAAGGATAAATGTTCAGAGCTGGTTTCTTCGCAATGAAGTCGTAAAGATCTCAGAGGCGGACTGGACAAAACAGGTTTGCATCTTCTTGAACAAGCTTAAGTTCAACCCAGCTCTCCAGACATCAATGATATTGTGAACCCAGCTATGCAGTCAATATTTTTGTTTCACTCCAGTGCAACCTTTTTGGTACTGGAAACAAACCCTTGACAGCTAGGTGAGGAGTTACATTAATCTACTGCTTTGCATACAAGACCTTATGGCTATGAATGTTTTTCCTCAACAGAAAGTGAATGGAATTGTACATTACTTATGTGCATTAATCATTCAAAGCTTTAATTTCCTTGTTGCACAGGATCATATTTAGTATTTATCAATATGCTTGTAGCCAATGCAATTAAACCTTGTATTTTGGACTGTTCCTTAAATAGCTGTCATACAGATTTCATTCATTAATGTCTGGAGAAGACAATGTTCTTTTGTACATGACTGTTAATTATTTTTTGTGGAGAAAGCCTGCAAAAATTCCAACATATTTGGGTCGAAATGCAGAAAAAAATAATGCTCACCTTTAAAATTCCTATGAATGGCAGAAAAGTTCCTCTTTGTAAACCATTTTTGTAGAGATCTGAAAAAGTAACTTATGATGATTTTTTTTTCTTCTCAAAACAGTACACACATCTGAAATTTACATAAATTTTAGAAAAAAGAGCTATCATCCTTAATATCTGAAGTTTTCCCATGATCAAAATCACAAAATTCATAACCCAAAAGTTGAAAACAGTTAAACCTTGTACATGACATATTTTTATACCCAATTTGTTGGCTGTCATCATATCTTTTAACAAGGAAACTGTTTTATAAATCGAGAGATCATATGTTTATGTACCGTCTGTTAGTCTAAATAAATTCCAGTTTATAATTGAAATGATCATACCATCTGGTGGTCTGTTGGAGGTGGCCACCACCACAATACCATTCTTAAACAGTTCCATAAACAGCCGCTTCAGTATCATAGCATCAGCAATGTCTGTGACCTGCAGTTAAAAAGAAATATAAGACCATTTTCATAGATACACAAATATACTATCAAAATGAAAGAGTTTTCCAAAATGAAAAGAGTGTCATGTTGGTTCAGCTGTTTAAGCATAAAATAATGTTTGCATGGATAACTTATGAATCCTTGTAAATGGGAATTAAAAAGGTTACTCCAGTAAACGGGGATTAAAAAAGGTTACTCCTGTAAACGGGGATTAAAAAAGGTTACTCCTGTAAACAGGGATTAAAAAGGTTCCACCTGACTATGTACAAGGACCGAGCTTGGGTGGGTTGGGGGAAATGCATTTTTAATAAAACACTTAACAGAATGTTGTCAAATAGACAGTGAGAGGAGGTAAAACCATGATACATAACTAATTGTAGAATCATAATCACCTGAAACTCATCAAAGCATAGCAGCCATGTTTCCTCACTGATTTCCTTGGCTACTGGGGGTATGGGGTCAAATGGGTCTATCTTCTGTACATTGTACTGTCGAGGTATCGTCTGTTTAATGGCATGGATTCCTGTAAAAGTAATACACTGTATTTTATTTCAAGTTATGTATGCAGTAGAATTATGTAATTTTACACTGGATCCTAATTGTGCAATTGTAAATTAAATGGAAACACTTCAGAACACTCTTATACCGTAGTAATTACCAGGTAGCACTGTACAGAAGGCACTTATACCGTGGTAATTACCAAGAAGCACTGTACAGAAGGCACTTATACCGTGGTAATTACCAGGTAGCACTGTACAGAAGGCCCTTATACCATGGTAATTACCAGATAGCACTGTACAGAAGGCACTTATACCGCGGTAATTACCAGGTAGCACTGTACAGAAGGCACTCATGCCGTGGTAATTACCAAGAAGCACTGTACCGAAGGCACTTATACCGTGGTAATTACCGGGTCACTGTGCAGAAGGCACTTATACCGTGGTAATTACCAAGTAGCACTGTACAGAAGGTACTTATACCGTGGTAATTACCTGGTAGTACTGTACAGAAGGCACTTATACTGTGGTAATTACCAAGTAGCACTGTACAGAAGGCACTTATACCGTGGTAATTACCAGGTAGCACTGTATAGAAGGCACTTATACCATGGTAATAACCAGGTAGCACTGTACAGAGGGCACTTATACTATACTATATACTAACATCATGTATAGTATATAGTATACTGTTTGTGAAACAACATAATGTAGAACAGCCATCTTACGTTTATGAACATCTAACATAAATTTGTGGAAATGGACCCGTTTTTTCTTCTTCACTCGACTTTGGTCATGAAACAGATCCATCAGCATTGTTTTACCAGTACCTGTAGAACATAACAAAAACGTAATAAATCCACTGAGCTCACCAATAGTGACAGGCAATCTGTTTCAAATCATAATACATAATCAGTTTGAAATTGGATGTAGTAAAAAACTGATTAATGAGAGATTGCATTATTGAATTGATTAATAATTAACGGGACTGAATACTCAAATAAAGTGAGAACACCATTTTTACATCAATAGACAGAGTTGTTCACTATACATTATATATTAGGTTTCAATACATGTATTTCCAGTCCAATTGATTTTCCATTTCAATTGATCATCAGCCCATCATTAGCTACCTCATGTACACATCAAAATCATTTGATTAACATTGATGGTGTTTGCAATATATATATGCATATGTAGTCATGATTAGGTCCAAGTAAGAGTATACAGGTCACTATCAACAACACAAATACATCAGCAGGTTACTCCTTACCTACTTTTCCATGAAGATACAAGCCTTTAGGATGACCTGATTTGTCTTTTTCATTTCTTGAAAACATCTGAAAATTTAGAGGGAAGTTAAAATTCAGAGAACTTTACAATGAGCATAATTGTTCACATAAACTGTCAAAGTCACATGTTCAAGACCTATATTCAAACTGTTTTCCATCTAGGAAGAACAACAAAAACTTACACATATATATACATACCGGTATTTGTTCATTGTATCATATTTATTTGTACGTTGTATTGTAACTATAATCTAATGGGTTTTTCAACTCTGTGGTTGTACAGAAGAAAAAGTTTGGACAAAACAGTGTAGGTCTACTAAACTAATAGTAACTTTGCCTCAGTATCTTAGAGAGCTCTACACAACAATACCTTGACTATGTAGTGTAGTATGTACTGAAAACTATGACACTCTCTAGTCATTGTACACACATCTATTTAGGTTTCTATAAATTTACACATGTGATCAAAGGTAAAGAAACTATATAACACTTTATAGATTTCTATTTAATCTTTCGTAAACCATCTCACAGACTGGGGCACAGCTCTAGTCTAGATCTCTAAAGCAATACATATATATATTGTACCTTAGTAAACCATCCCTCAGACTGTTGGGGTTCATAACTCTCCAGAGTGGTATGAAGATCCTCAAGGTTCTGGACAATGCCCACCTGATGGCTGTCATATTTAAGTTTCCTGCTTGCTATTTTCTCCTGATATATAGACATTGGTCCATCTGGTAAACCTTGTAACTTCTCTCCCTCATCGACACGGGATCCAGCTTCTCTGGCAGCGATTTGATGTCTTCTTGCTAGAATTAAACATATTGCTATTTTTATAATGATGTTGATGAAAAGAAGCCATACAAAGAAGCTTTAAGGGTTTATCATTGATATTTAGTATATAATAAAACAGGAAATTATAATTAAGTGTGACATCAGGTCACCTAGAGAAGAGGGAGGTCACTGCATCCTCAGTATCACCTAGAGTAGCTATAGAGGGACGTCACTGCACCCTCAGTATCACCTAGAGTAGGGGATGTCACTGCACCCTCAGTATCACCTAGGAAGGGGGATGTCACCGCACCCTCAGTATCTACTAGCTAGGTAACAGGGAGGTCACCGGACCCTCAGTATCACATAGAGGAGAGAGATGTCACTGCACCCTCAACTGCAACGTCAGTATCACCTTAAGAAGAGGGAGGTCACTGGACCCTCAGTATCACCTAGGCCTAGAGAAGGAGGTCACTGCACCCGCAGTATCACCTAGGGTACAGGGTAACACTGCACCTTCAGTATCACATAGAGATGAGGGAGGTCACTGCACCCTCAGTATCACCTAGAGGAGAAGGATGTCACTGTACCCTCAGTATCAACTAGGGTACAGGGTAATACTGCAGCCTCAGTATCACCTCGAGAAGAGGGAGGTCACTGCACCCTCAGTATCACCTAGAGAAGAGGGGGGTCACTGCACCCTCAGTATCACCAAGGGTAGAGGGAGGTCACTGCACCCTCAGTATCATCTAGGGTACAGGGTAACACTGCACCTTCAGTATCACATAGAGATGAGGGAGGTCACTGCACCCTCAGTATCACCTAGAGAAGAGGGGGGTCACTGCACCCTCAGTATCACCTAGGGTAGAGGGAGGTCACTGCACCCTCAGTATCATCTAGGGTACAGGGTAACACTGCACCTTCAATATCACATAGAGATGAGGGAGGTCACTGCACCCTCAGTATCACCTAGAGTACAGGCATGTGACTTTTGTCACTGTGCCCTCAGTATCATCTAGAGAAGAGGGATGTCTCTGTGCACTCAGTATTATCTAGGGTACAGGGTAACACTGCACATTCAGTATCACATAGAGATGAGGGAGGTCACTGCACCCTCAGTATCACATAGAAAAGAGGGAGGTCACTGCACCCTCAGTATCACCAAGGGTAGAGGGAGGTCACTGCACCCTCAGTATCATCTAGGGTACAGGGTAACACTGCACCTTCAATATCACATAGAGATGAGGGAGGTCACTGCACCCTCAGTATCACATAGAAAAGAGGGAGGTCACTGCACCCTCATTATCACCTAGAGAAGAAGGAGGTCACTGTGCCCTCAGTATCACCTAGAGTACAGGGATGTCACTGTGCCCTCAGTATCAACTAGAATACAGGGATGTCACTGTGCCCTCAGTATTACCTAGAGAAGAGGGAGGTCACTGCACCTTCAGTATCACCTAGAGTACAGGCATGTGACTATTGTCACTGTGCCCTCAGTATCATCTAGAGAAGAGGGATGTCTCTGTGCCCTCAGTATTATCTAGGGTACAGGGTAACACTGCACCTTCAGTATCACATAGAGATGAGGGAGGTCACTGCACCCTCAGTATCACCTAGAGTAGAGGGAGGTCACTGCACCCTCAGTATCACATAGAAAAGAGGGAGGTCACTGCACCCTCATTATCACCTTAAGAAGAGGGATGTCACTGCACCCTTAGTATCACCTAGAGAAGAGGGAGGTCCCTGCACCCTCAGTATCACCTAGAGAAGAGGGAGGTAACTGCACCCTCAGTATCACCTCGAGAAGAGGGAGGTCACTGCACCCTCAGTATCACCTCGAGAAGAGGTAGGTCACTGCACCCTCAGTATCACCTAGAGAAGAGGAAGGTCACTGCACCCTCAGTATCACCTAGAGTACAGGCATGTGACTATTGACACTGTGCCCTCAGTATCATCTAGAGAAGAGGGATGTCTCTGTGCCCTCAGTATCACCTAGAGAAGAAGGAGGTCACTGTGCCCTCAGTATCACCTAGAGCACAGGGATGTCACTGTGCCCTCAGTATCACCTAGAGTACAGGGATGTCACTGTGCCCTCAGTATCACCTAGAATACAGGGATGTCACTGTGCCCTCAGTATGACCTAGAGAAGAGGGAGGTCACTGCACCTTCAGTATCACCTAGAGTACAGCCATGTGACTATTGTCACTGTGCCCTCAGTATCATCTAGAGAAGAGGGATGTCTCTGTGCCCTCAGTATCACCTAGAGAAGAAGGAGGTCACTGTGCCCTCAGTATCACCTAGAGTACAGAGATGTCACTGTGCCCTCAGTATCACCTAGAGTACAAGGATGTCACTGTGCCCTCAGTATCACCTAGAGAAGAGGGATGTCACTGTGCCCTCAATATCACCTAGAGAAGAGGGATGTCACTGTGCCCTCAGTATCACCTAGAGTACAGGGATGTCACTGCATGTGCCCTCAGTATCATCTAGAGAAGAGGGATCGTCACTGTACCTTCAGTATCACCATTTTGACAGATTATGAGATAGATTCACAGCAGACATCTAACTGTCAAAATGTCTGCGCTGGTGTCTGCAGGGCTAGAAGAACCTTGAGCTACAAAATAATGTACCTAACTCAAGTTTGACTTCAGCTGAGAACACTGTCATACTTACTGCTGTACATTTATGCGCACACAGTGTTCTGTGAGTGAAGTGAGGTGGGAATTGAACGGTATCCAAAAATGGAACCAACACTTTAATTTCCATACATATTATATATTATAATTTACTTGATATGCAGCATTTGAAAAAAAAAATGACATGAAAATAATTCCCAGGAAATTTTTAGGTGTGAAAACAAATATATTCTTTTCACATTTCTAAATAATAATTGATATTGGAAATGTTTGGTAAAGTGATTATCAGTCTAATAAGTGTTGAGTCTGTTGACGAATAAATGTCTAAAACTGAACAGAAAGTGTTAACTAAATGAGCTGTATAGACACATAAAAAGAAAGCTCAAGGCATCTTCTATTTCCTAAAATAAAATAATTGCCACTTTGTGTAAAAAAAACTAATTTAACAGTTGGGAAAACATATAATTTTCTTAAAAAAAAATGTTCCAAGTTTCAAAAAGGCAATAATATCAAACCTGCATGAAATAAACCATGTTTAACTCAGTTTGTTAAAAAAAATATCACCTGGAACTCATTACCAGCATATCACTGGCCCTTAGTGAGGATTTACCCCCTTATAAGTCCTCGCTTGAACGTTACCACCCGTCTACTAATAACAAAAATATATTCTTTGAAGTGCCACCTCCCAGGGTCAATTGCACTCCAACCCTGGAGTTCTGATCCTTGTAATGGAAGAAGAAGATCAACAACAACAACACTATGTTCGTATGTTGTCAATTTATCAGAAGGCTACAATTCTTGTACACACATTTTGGTTGTAAAACGACCTGCTGACTGCTGTCAGACTGTTATCACTTGTTATGGTTAGTGGCAGGATCAAAAGGTATGGTTTACCTCCTACGTGGAAAGATGAACAGCAATTATTGTGAAATCTTTCACTAACAAGTCGTGATCCAGTCAAAATAAACCTGTAAACATTCATTTCGGAGGTCTGATCTGCCCTTCATATCATTTGACTTTCGTGGGCACGTTTAATTCTGGAACATAAAAGTTCACGCCCTTCCAAATATTTGTCTGTTTCTGCCTTACTGATCGTGATAACGTCACATCATTCAGGTACAAACGGCGTATTCGCAAATTCCTAACTGAAACCAGAGACGTATAATACATCTCTGCTGAAACTAACATGAATAATCTTTTTTTTTTCTTTTTTTCATTTTCAATTTTCCTTTTGGTTTAGGAATAATATTTTTTGAGATATATATGGACATTTCATCAAAGGACTGCGACATTCCGGAAATGTTTCTCAGTCATTCCGTCAAAGAATTAGTATCTTACAATGCACATAAAGTGGTGATGTCATCGATATAAGTGCTGTAGGAGTTGCAGCGAAATGACTGCCCAGCCAGCGACAGCCCGTATTACTACGAAAAAACAGACATTAGAAGACGCATATTCACCTCCAGCGAATTTTCTAGAGATAGACATTTTAGATCCTCAAACACATGGCGTGGACAAGAAGCGGTATACGGATTATGAAGTCCGTATGAGAGTAAGTTTGATATGCAAAATCGAGAATCCGGAAGCTTCGCTTTTGCTTTGTTTTTTGACGAAAAAATGGAATAAATTTGAGATGTGATACACTTTTTTTTAACATTTGATTTGCTTCTTTATAAAAACAAAGAACATTGTTTCTTTCCTGTGTAAGAAATGGATTGACATTTTATAAAACTTATATATATAACGAAAGCAGTTTGTTTTTGATGGGTTTCATTACGCTTATTTTTCATTCAAAACGTTCTCTGTTGAGAACTGATTGATAACGATGTTTGTATTAACCTCACTTTATAGGTGTGTATGTAGATAAATTAACAAGACGTTTCCCTTGCACATATACCAACTGTCCCACGAGGATTCGCCCCTACCGCTGTCAACACGGGTCACATGCTACTAGTCTACAGTAGTCGTCCGACCACTTAAGTTCTAGCAGTAATTATACATTCACATATTAGTGGCATATCGAGAGAGACCTCTCCAGGGCGAATTATGATTGTTTAATGTGTGTGTTATCAGTGTTTTTAAGAATAACGAGAGGATTCCATTTTTTTCTTTAAACAGGTTGGGCGCATATGGGTAATAATCCTGCATTTGAGTAACAATTTTATTCATGGAATGGGTATATAATAAAGTGAAATAAAAACACACAAAAGTTCTTTTAAAGACTTGGAGCAAAGAAGGGCGTCATTCTGTCAACTAAATTGAATAAATAACACAATGAATTACATTTGTGCACAAAAAAAATCAATTCTGATGTCTAACTTTTTGTAAAAAGGACAAACCATATCACTGACTTTGAACTGAACAAGGACTTCCCTGTGCAAATGTGACAGGTGAGCATGGCTTTTTATGTGTGCTATTTATATAGCTACTCTACAACACACTATAAGCAATGGAGATGATACAATTTGTCATTTTCACAAAAATTTAGACAACTGAATTTACATATTTTTTGTACTGAATTGTACCTCATCGTATTTTTTATTTGATTATGTTGGAAGAATGACGCCCTTTTTGGTTCATAACGAGTAAAAAACTTTGTGTGTTTTTATTTCACTTAATTACCCATTTCAGTTATAACATTATTACTGAAATGGGTAACTGTTACCCGAATGTAGGATTACCCATATGCGCCATTGTGCCCAACCTGCTAAAGGGAAGGGCGTTAATTACATTAAGACTGGTTTCTTCACAAGGAAATATGACTCATCAACGCTTTTATTTTTGACACATGCGTTAGGTAACGCAGTTGTCTAGTTTGTCTATTTAATGAAATTAGAAACTTGTTGCGTTTTCTCTACCTACTTAATGCATATATATATGTGTATGTCTTTGACATCACCCCTGTGTGAGTCCAGGCACCTCCCGCCAGTCGCCAGGTAGTTTCAGTGTATGGTATTACAAACCTTTTGCAATGTTGAAGGGAAGAAGGAAAAAGTCTATTTGGTTTCAAATACAATGTCAACTACTGCTAAGCAACTAAGTAGAAGCAACTTAATAATGAATTATAAATTAAACAACCTAAGTAAAGACCGATATAGCTGAAGTGCCAAAGTGTTGTCAACTATGTTCTCCATTCAAAATAAGGTATCAGATTCAATTGATCATAATGATATAAAGTTAAAACAACATCAAAGAGGCATGTTCCAAGGGAAACAATTGAAATCTAGACATTTGCCAATTTGGAGATAGCTGCTACATGCATGTTTTAGAAATATAAATATAAAATGCAATTGATGTAAGATATTCAATATGATTTGATATTAAAGGGGCTGGTCGGGGGAAAAAAGTCATATTTGCTAAAATGGCATACACATGTTTAAAATACCTTCTTATGAAATATACCGATACAAATTTTGCTGAAATTCACTCCCTAAGAGTAAAAATTTTAATTATATTAAAGAAATCCTAAATCATCACCTGACAGTCTGAAACTCTCAATTGACCCAGATCAGTGATGTAATTTTACCGCACGCGCATCATCAACAAGGCCAAATGTAAACATCGCGGCGAAAGAAAAAGATGCATGCAAAAGTCATGACAGGCACGAGGTATCAATACCGTTTATGTATAACAACAATATATAGGTAGGAATACTACACTTGCATCATACATGACCTTTGAAAACAATTATTTACGTATAGTATTGCTGTCTTGTCCGCTAGTTGAGTCCGACATGGCACATGACGGCGTGCTATTGTTGTTATCTTCACTGCCTCACTTTCGAAACAACCACGTGATATATATAAATAGATCTGTGCTAAGTTTACGCGGGGCTTCCTCGAGATTTCAGTGGTCAAAACTGGACATTGCAAGCAGAACTTGACCATCATATTGTCCTGGTATAACTTTTGGAAGGCCAGAGAACGCATTTAGACCCATTTATTTTGTATTTTTTTCCCCAACCAGCCCCTTTAAACTCTCAGACTGACATTCTTTTAGCCAACCATCATTAGATGGTGGGCTATTCAAACCACCCTTTGTCTGTGACACATCATTCCTTCCATCCTTAATAAAATCTTGTAAGTCATATTTCTGAAGAATAAGATGGATCTTTCTCAAATTTCACATGAGGATTCTTCATGGTCCCTAGTTGTCCTCATCAAATTAAGAGACTGATAAAACCCCAAAAGAGTTATCTTGAGTTTTGAGAGTTATAAAGTTGGTTAGTGTTATTAGTGCTATTTCTCAGAGAGCACTGGAAGGATCTTTCTCAAATTTCACTTGAAAATTCCTCATGGTCCTTAGTTATGCATATCCATTGTTGGGATTGATCAGGAAACCAAGATGGCTGACAGATGGCCATATTGAGATTTGTTAAAATTTGTTAGCGCTATTTCACAAAAAGTACTTGATAGATCTTTGTCTAAATTCACATGACGGTTAACATTTCCCATGGTCCCTAGAGCAAAGAAGGTAAAAGATCATCTTTGTAGATCTGATGAAGATCCCTTTCATGGTAGGCGAGTCCTGACAAGATCCTTCTAGGATCTGTTGTTAGTTTTGGAAGTATTCAGATATCAAACAAAATCATTATTTGTTTGGATTCCAGCAATCACGAAAGCTTTAGATGTTGGCACCGGTGTCTTTCAACCGCTGATCATCCTTTCTGTTGTGGGGGATTCTGGAGGGGCTAGACACATGCCCATTTCTCTCAAACCTGTACATACTGTACGTACAGGGAAACAAGGTTTCATAGGCCAATAAGATACAAAATTACCTAAACACTGCATGAGACGCTTTACTTTCTGTTACAGACCTTGGGTTTCTCGTAATTTGTGCTTGTCTATGAAACCTAGGCAACTATATATGGTATCAAGTTTAATGTATGTGCATTTTTATTTGTTTTTTCAGACCAACTTACCAGTTTTCAAGGTTAAGGAGTCCAGTGTGCGGCGAAGGTATAGCGATTTTGAATGGTTGCGGAGTGAGTTAGAACGGGACAGCAAGGTAATAATATAACAACATTTATCATCCATATTATTTAATTATATAACCATATATACACAATAGTTAAATTATGAAGTGTTGATTTGAATGGATGTAATTTATCCTGGTACATGTCTGTGTTTTTGTCTTTTATTGATTTAAAAATCATGATAATTTACGTTTCCTTTCAATATTTGGTTATTTTGCACATTTTTTGATCACCTGAGACGAATCTTCATGTGACTGATGTTGTGATTACTTTTTGTCCATCGTCGCTGATCGTGTGTCCACAAATAATTCACATTTTAAAAATCTTTAAAAAAACACTGAACTGAATTTGATAAAATTTTGCAATAAGTATCCACAGTGGAAGACAAACCAGATACTTATGCCTGCAAGAGGCCTGAGGGGCAAGACACTAAGAGGTCAAATGTTCTGAAACTGAGCAATCTTCTTTTTTATTCACAGAAATTCCAGAATCAAATAATCTGCTTAATCAGGATGGAAAGGCTTAAGATCCTAAAAACTTGTATTTCTCACCTTTTCCTCCATGGGTGGAATCAAGTTAACTATCGTTACTTAATGTAAATAACACTTTTGGGCATATTTTGATTATTTTCAGTAGGAAATCATTCAAACTTGGTTGGAATTATTGTATTATGGTGGTATAAAATAAAAACCTTACAAAATGTGAAATAAGGTGTTTGAAACTTTTTTTCAAGGATCATAAGATTTATGGGTTCTGTTGTAATTCCATAAAAGTCTACATTTTAGATCATATATTGGTCAATCCCCAACATATTTTGTCTGGTAACAGTGAATTCAAAGTTGCCCTATTTGCATTTCATGAACATTTTGCATCAATGAGCCATTCAGAGTTTAACATGATATATTTAACAGGTTCATTATATAATAACATGCTAGAAAAAAGGGGATTCCCTGACTTGATTAATCAATTATCATAAATTCATAATCGCTGTCATTATAACAGATTGTGGTACCAGCAATGCCAGGGAAGGCTTGGAAACGTCAGCTGCCCTTTAGGGGAGACGATGGTATATTTGAGGACGAGTTCATTGAGGATCGAAGGAAAGGACTAGAACAATTTGTCAACAAGTGAGTTGTCTTGAAAAAGTAATCTGTTATCTTTATTTTACAAATAAACATATTAAATAACACATTTTTATGCTTTTTTTTATTTGAATTCAGATATTAGAAGGGAGATAATTCTGTTATGCCAGTTTTGGAAAAAAAATGAATAACTGTTCTTTGTCACTTTCAGGGTTGCTGGACACCCCTTGGCCCAGAATGAACGGTGTTTACATATGTTTCTCCAAGAACCTGTAATTGACAAGAATTATGTTCCTGGAAAAATCAGAAATACATGATGAGAAAATAATCTCTCAAAGACTCTTCAATATATTTCATATACATTTTATGTGTAAAGAATGCCTGTACCACCTGGGGCATGTTATTGTAGTCTTCAATGTCCTGGTATACTGTGACTTAATGCTGGACCTACCAAAGTGAAACATTGTGTTTTGTATGATAAATCTTGATTCAAAGAATAATAATTCTGTTCAGAAGTGCTGCTGTCAGTTTTAATAGTTTGATTTATTTTGAAGATCTTCAGTTCAGTGTTGAAAATACATAACAACCATGAATATTCTTCACAAACATCTTTAAAAAAAATGAACCTGAGGTATAATACAAATGTCCTACTTTCAGAAATGTTAATTTGATGTTGAATTGAGAAAATTGGAAGGGACAAATGTAGTTTTTGTGGGGTAAAAACCTGTCCAGTAGCCTGATGAAATTTTGACAAGGTTTATAATGTGTATGAGATTATCACCTCTACAATGTAACCAGCAATATAAGACGTATATAGAGACTTACCAGCATACTGATCAAAACTCACCGTAATGGGCAGAGATTTCTGATAAAAAAGTCATTCCCCTCAAACATGAAGTAATGTACAGTAGTTTTTTTTTTTTGCTATTTATTCATTTCCATTTGTTGCTGTTAATCCGGTTTTCTATTAGAGAAAAAATAACATTACCCACCAAATTATTATAAGTTTATAACTGGATCCAGTCCTATGTTAAAATAAATCTGTATTTACAATTAATTCATTGTCCAAGCGTGTGATATCAGGAGGAAGTGTACATATTTGTAGCAAACATTATCAGTCTACGTACAATGCAATACACAAATGTATTTATAGTAACATTAAACCAAGTTGTGAATCGTTTTGATACTTTCAAGTCAGTGTTTTTCCAAAAATGAAAAAGCTAATCAATTTTGAAATAATAGGTGTTTTTCGAGTATGAAACTGGTATTCTATGGCATTTGAGTGGGTTTTTTATCTCTAAAAAGTAAATGGTATATAGACAGGTAATCTTGAAGTAAACCGGATTCACAGCGACTCTTGATGTAGTTATTGGATTTAAATAGTTGCTTTGTACGTAGAAAACAAGTTTTTTGCTATATGTGTAAGGTAGTTAAGAATATCAAAAAATATTTCATTTAAGTATTGCGAAACTAAGCAATACACTTTCATAAAAATGACTTGATTTCATGTATATTTGTAATCAGATTATCTTTTACCCGTTTCACATAATCACCATCTTGTCTTCATATAGCCCCACACTTTTTACACAGCACTAAGCTTTTTAACAAAGCTGAGAGATCCCCGTAAAAGTAGAATTTCTATCTACAAATGAACAATTTTTCTTATGAAATTCTAATAGAAGAAACAACGAGACCTTTATGTAAAAGTATATATAAATATATTTCTTTTTATCTAGGGAAAATGTAACAATTATTTGCGTAACGTTTCAAAGCTTCTGAACTATTATATATAACAGTAAAAATTATTGTACTATGTACAATGAAGTTCTTTTTCCTTTCAAAATTATTTATATTGGTTACTTATATGTATAAGTCGAGGTTAATTTTGTCAGCTATACATAGTGTATGGTAGGAGGAACGAAAGTTTTTTGTTTTTTTTTGGCTTGTGAAATATAACGGGTGTATATGAGATAACATGTATAGGCCTGGAATAGTTATCATGATATGTTATGTAATTATGCTTTGTATTTTAAATTGCAACTGTTGTGAACATTTTGATAGCAATGATGTAATGCTTGGTAGAGATACAATCAATTAAAAAAGTGTGGCATACAAAATATATGCACATTAACATCACTATGTGGTTGGGCATTTAGATGTGTTTATTTACAGAATCAAACTTTGTCTTGGGAAATGTTTCATGTGCAGTGTACAGGTCAGTTGTAAACCGAGGCTATCTATTAAGCAGAAATTTGACTCATTCACCCCTGAAATTTCATAATAAACTATTCCAATCTTTGATTTGGAAGAGTTCAAATGTGTCTACAAGGGTGAATGAGTTATGAGACCTGATTGAATATATTAACATCAGTTGTGTGGAATGTGGTTACTTCTCATTTCATAAACGTTTTGTAACTGGTGTGATATTTTCCTATCAAGTATATTCACTTCTGTTCAAGTCAGTGTGTCTGATAGGTCTGTACTCAAATACTACCATACAGGTCATCGGTTTTCCAGCCAAATCTGTCTGTTGTATTAAAGGCTACTTTGTTGTTAGGCAAAGGATTGTTAAAGAATTAAAAGGCCAGATATAATGGTCAAAGATCTTTTTAAATGATTCTGTAAAGTAAAAAGACTTCAAAATATTACATCATATGTACAGGAGTAATGCTTGCTTGACAAAACCAGTTTCTTGTATAGTACACCGAACACATGGTATTTCAGACCACATTTATACGTTTTTGATGTAAAACTTTTAATTACTAGCAATATAAAGTTCTCATCACTGTGTTATTTGGAAAATAAATTTTTGACTAGGATTCAAATTTTAAATTAAAGGTCACATTGCTGTATCAAAGAAGTTGTAAAAAGCTGATAATGTGATATAGCATTTGCGAGAACGGGTACTGAAGCTGCGTCTTTTGACCTACAGTATGTGGTTGTAACTCCTCGCCACACAAATAAGCTATGTATATATATGTAGTATGTAAACGTTTAAATAAAGATGGATATAGATACCGAACTGTTGTTTGCCTTTATATACGCAATCATTTGGAATCAGATTGATGTATGATATGCTCGTCTGCTGTGTACTTGAAGTAATGAACACAATCATATGCTCGTTTGCTGTGTACTTTAGTAATGAACACAATCAATACAATCTATCGAACAAGGATGGTTGGAAAAACATTCACAAGCTACATGTGCACCCATTACCAAATGGGTGAGGTGTGAAAATATAAACGAACGTCACTTAAACCTTCTATATATAATGGCTATATTTTCAATTATAGTATATCAATTATATCTTCTTGTAATATGATGTATATGTACATGATATGATGTACATATATGTACATGTAACTGTTCTGTTTCACTGTGTCTTGAAAAAGGAGCGGATCGCTCCGAAAATTTGACAACCTAAACTTGTCCACACTGTTGGAATACTTCTTTGCCCAATATATATATATATAGATATACAAGCTCTACCTAATGGGGTGAACAAAAATACGAAACCCTCTACTTATGAAGATATTATACAACCTCTACCTTACAGGGTGAAATAGAAATGAACGCTACGTAAACCCTCTACTTATATAGATATATATACAACCTCTACCTTATGATCATAGGGTGGAGAAGAAACAAACCCCTCTTAGTTCTTTTCTCACTAGGACGGGGAAAACGATCACCACTTGCACCCTCTTCTTAAATAGGATAAAACGGAGCCGATTGTCACTTCAACCATTCACCTACCTAAATAGGACAAAGTAGAACCAACTGCTGACCTAGCTAGCTAGGATGACAAGGGAGCAGTTGTCATGTAGGCTTTCTATCTAATTAGTATGGTGAAGGAACGAACGTCATTTACACTCTCTACCTAAATAGGATAAAACGGAGCCGATTGCCACTTCAACCCCTCACCTAGGTAGCATATCAAGGAAGCAGTTGCCGTCTAGTCTCCCTATTTCATAAGGATGGTGAAGGAACGATCGCCACTCTAATATTAAAATAATTTCAATTCGATACAAATGGACACTGAAGACTACATAGAGAAATATTGTTTAGGTTGTTATTGAATATGCAAGCATGTCAATAATGAAAATATCATCACGTAAACAACGGTCATCACAATAACTGATTCCGGTGGACTTCAACTGGTTTTGGTGTATTTCAGTAATTTTAAAGCAGTGTAGAATTGGTGAGTGAAATCATGCAGATTCTATTTTTCTTTGGCCAAGTTTGACGGATTGAGTTGGTATCGAGACACATTCAACATGAGCGTCTTATCATCATGACTGTGCTACCTTTTACCCTAAAACTTGGTCAAAGTAACATTTAAAGATTAAATGTAGCAGGTCGAGGCACATCACACTGGTTGTACAGACAGAGACATCAAAGGTGACACAATGTAGAGTTCGAACATTGTCCTTGTTAATGGGATGTTGCCAGTTGAATATTTCAGATAGAGTAATGTGTGTGGGTTCAAATCAATATAAATCATACTCGAGAACACGGGTTTGAATATAAAGTATACGAGAACAAGAAAGGAACACTCAGCGGAATCAATTTGATGTTAAGAAAGTATTGTACAAGCCATTAGAAACATAGATCGGCATCAGATAATGCCTACCGAATATTTCACTCTTCAGTTCTAGATGTACCATCATGTTTTATATAACTTTGGCAAACATTGGCACAGGTGAAACATCATTGTGCTGTACAAGCAATGCAGTGATCACAACCTCGGGACTGAACCAAGCCAGCATAGCTCCTTAATGTACCTGCTATAACTTCACACCAAATGTTGTATATGCTGGAGAACGACTTTCCATATCATACTCGTTGAGGCCAATTTATGTCGAACACTTCTTTCTTTTCAGTTTCAGGTATTTTTGTGTTCCCAGCATCAACTGTTTATCCGTACCATGGTGGTGTCTTACCACCGTGGTAAATGGCGTTTTCACATGTGACTTGATAGAGAGAGACATATGTATGAGTGGCGGTTCGGGCCAGAAACGATATACAGTAACGCGTTAGAACTGCCTTTTAACGCGTTAAAAGTGCATTTAACGCGTTAAAAGTCACTTCTAACGCGTTACAATGGTAAATGCACTGGCCAATCAGAGAAATCGTTCCATAGTTTATTTTTTTGATATTCAAAATAAACAAAATGTTATGACTATTTTTTTTCTAAACCCAGACGATAACCCAGTTCTACATCATATGTTTGTTCTAAGTAATTTGGAAATGGGTTATCGTCTGGTTTTGTTTTTCAATATGAATAAACAAATCTTCATTTAATTGGAATAAAATATGACGGTATTGATATATGAATAAACTTTCCAGAGCCTTAAAAGTGGTGTCGGAACGCAAATTAGATTTTTTTTAATTGATGTTCAGGAAATGCCCAATTTTTTGGGAACTTCAAAAAGTCATAATTGTTTTATTTATTTTTCCGATTTCCTTAAATGCCTTCGTTAGGTAAATACAAACACCTATGAACCCAGTGATACATTACTACAATGTTTGGTTAAAATCAGTTGATTGACTGATGAAAAAGACATTTAAACAAAAGTTATTTGGAGAGATGACGGACATTGCACCACGGAATAAGATCAATTGTTCTAATAACCGTTATTAATGGAAAAATAAGCACCAATCTAATCTTCATTTTTCCCACAGAATTCTTTATCTAGAAAGAGTCGTAAGGCGGGCTGTTCGGAAATTGATTGCCGAGGAGGTTGCAGATTATTTCTTGTGTATTTCTAGGTGTAAATTCCTCCTCGAATCAATTCTCATCTCTACTATGTTCTTCCCTAGCCACTTACTTTGCTATCCTAAAAGCAGGAAACTTGAAAACACGAAAACGTCGCATACAAACACTAGTAATCAAATAGGTCGACAGGGACGAATGTCATTTTGGTACAGTATTTTATATGCACATATTCAGCGTGTGTGCTGCAACTTACACATGCATAATATTAGCATTGATATGCACATGAAATGGCACGAGCAGTCAATTATTCCAAAGCAACTATAATCCAACTGGTACCTATGTGCCGTCAATCCGATCGTGTGTAGACACAAGAGGTGTATGGGCCTAAACGACCACATGAGGGAATTGGTAATGTCTGATAAAACCCAATGGGACTACGTAATGGGGCCGCCTGAAAAGTAAAACAACAGTGTACAGTATTCAGGACCTCATGAGGGAGCATTTGAAACACCCTTTCTTGTCAATGCAGCCGTTTTGTTTATGAAGACATGCATTACATGTGCAATATACTCTACATTTATCAGGACAAATCCTCAGGATCCCATTATTATTCCACCAATGAGGTTCTTTCTCTTTTCAAGCCTTTTCTGTCTCATCTTCCATGTCTGTACTTGTCCCCAGAACACTAATTATGTGTTGAATATACTTCAAGCCCAAGTTATTAATAACTATAAAAAAAAAAAAAACATCAGTCATGTAAACGTTGAATAGAATCTAAACAATTTATGACAATGACTAGAAACATATATACAAATCACCTTCGAACATTTTTAAAATACAAAAAATATACCCTTACAACTAAACAGAAAACCACTCTGAAAACGCTGCACTTCATAAATATTACAAATGCATATTTATTGAGATATGTCAAGGACAAATCGTGGATGTAATACACGTACTGAACCAGTGGATACCTTACAAAATCACTTAATCTATATTGATAATCACCATATTTCAAACCTATATAATATACAATACATGTTGTTCATTATTCTCGTGAACCTGGCAACTTTAATACTTGCATACAACATAATTCATTATCACAATGATATACACTTATCTGCTGTTCCTACCTCTTTCATATACATTCTTATTCTCATTCATTCAAGGACTCAAAACTATTTGTATGCTCCTTTTATGTGATAACTTTATGTTCATACAGAAATTGTTTAATGAAGAAACGAGAAAGCAAAAACGACTTTTTGAAGTTCCCAAAAAATAGGGCATTTCCTGAAAATCATTTATAAAAATTCTAAATTGCGTTCCGACACCACTTTTAAGGCTCTGGAAATTTCATATCACTTAGAAGAAAATATGATGTGGAAATGGGTTATTGTCTGTCTTTTTTTCAATATAAATAGTCATAACATTTTTATTTATTTTAAATATTAAAAGCATCAACTATGAAACGATTTCTCTGATTGGCCAGTGCATTTACCATTGTAACGCGTTAGAAGTGACTTTTAACGCGTTAAATGCACTTCTAACGTGTTAAAAGTAAGTTGTAACGTGTTAAAAGTCAGTTCTAACGCATTAAAATGCAGTTCTAACGTGTTTAAAGTCACTTCTAACGCGTTACCTTTTTGGCCCGAACCGCAACCCATACATAATTATGATTGCTTATCTTATTTGGAGTACACAATTGGTACAGTTCTGTGCTTCGTTATGTATGTTTATAGTTTCCTTGTTTTTAATTTTTTGCAAGTATACTATAAGGATGTTTTGATAAACTTTTATCCTTAAATAACCTGAATTTGAACTTTGGGAAAACTCATCATAAGCATTGTATATTTACACAAACATGTCAAATAGATTTATTGGAATCGACCTTTCACTCTATTTTCCCCCTCTTTAGAGTATTTACGGTTATATACACTATTAAACAATTTTCACAGGTACAATTACATTTTCCTTTATTTTCTTTCTTGTCCTTTGAGGAGTCCTAGAATCGCGTATGTGTGTTACATTAAGTTCATTTTGCAAGGTACAAGGTGGTACTTTGAGACACTGCTGGTGTATTCCTTTTCCCTGAGGGTTGTCGTTGATAGCCATATTTATATCCTACTCATGGCTAATTTGTAATATACCAGTACACCCGTAGTTTTTAAATTCGTGTAATTGAGTGGTTTGACGCACCTCTCCTTTAATTAACGTTTGTTTAGATTTGGATTTCCTCCTTTTTATCCTTAGCGTCACTGATATTTCCTAGAAGGACGAAACAGCTGTATAGTGCAAAGTAATTC